GTGCAGCATTCCCAGCCCAAAGTGCAGCTAAAAATCACCATTTGACCATAAAGCCGAGAATCTGGCAGGCTGTGCCTGCCCCAGCCCCTTGGAGCCRGGAACAGATGGGGCTGCAGCTGGAAAACGGGCAGCAGGATGGAATGTGAACGGTTTGAGTCAAAATGCCCATGTCTGCTCCTTTCCCATGGAGCTGACAGGATCATGTTAGAGTCAGAAACTGATATGATTTCAGACTTGCTAAAATAATTTGCACCTTTACAAAGTCTCCTGGAAAATAAGTGATTTAACAGAGAGGTGCTGCTCTGCCGTGCCTGCAACCCAGGTATTAGAGCAGCCATAATCCGCAGGGCAAATTGGCCATAAACCGAGCCAGAGTGGATTTAATTTCCATTCTCTGGAGTCAGGGAAACGCACAGGCTGYACAACAAGCCATGGCAAGGAAAGACAGGCTTTAAACTGACATTTACAGCAGTAATCCAGGGTATTTGAAAAGAAAACATGGAAGGTGGCGGGCTGGGCTCCAGCGAGGGCYGTGCCCCAGGCTGAGGGCTCTCAGCAGGCAGGACATGGCACTGCTGGCCTGTCCCCTGCTCCTGGCTGGGCTCCACAGCCCAGGGCCTGCCTTCCTTACTCATGCCCTCGGTGCTCTGCTGCTGAAACACCCTCGGGAGGAGAWGGTGGCAGTGCCTTGAAGGCAAACAAAGGTTCCAGCTGCTCTGGATTCCCCCGGGATGGCCAAGGGGCTGCAGGGGACTCATCCCCACTGGTGCTGGGTTGGCTCCTCTTCATCCTTGTCCTGTGAGGATGTTCAGTGTGTGTGGGTTTGGGGAMGGTGGGGAGTGCCAGGCCAGGTGCCAGCTGCTCACCTTCTCCATGATGAGGTCGTAGAGCAGGGTGATCACGCGCACGTGGAGGGGCTCCATGCCCTTCTGCCGGAAGAGGCTCCGCAGCACCTGGAGGCCACCCAGCTTGAGGAACTGCTGCTGGGCATAGGGGAAGTGTCTCAGCATGGAGGACAGGGCGAACAGAGCCTGGTGGAGAGAGAGGGGGCCATCAGCACAACATCCATTGGCACCACGTGTGGCACAGTCCCTCTTTGTGGCACCCATGGGGACAGGAGAAACACAGCCCATCTGTACAGAGCTCCTTGGAAAATGCATCCCAACCTCTCGTTGTGAGGGGCATCTCTGACAGCCCCCTTTGCTCCTGATCCCAATCCTCCCCAACACTGCAAGGCTGCCCAGACTTGGGGGCAAGTATTTCCACCCAAACCCCACCTGGGCTGTCACTGAGGGCCCATGGCCAGCGCCTGGCAGACCCAGTGCCATCACTGCTCCTCCCTGCTCACCTCCACACAGGCACAGAGCCCAGCAGGATGCAGTGAGGGGCTCCAGGGTGGCTCAGCAGACCCCAGTCCCTGCGAGGTGCTCTGGATGCCTGGGGTGATGTCCCTGCACCCCGCAGCGGGAGGACACGGCCATGGCCGGGGAGCCCAGCACCCCCTGTGCCCCCGGGGCTCGGTGCCACCCCCGCCCCGCCTGCCTGGCTGTGACAGTGGCGGTGGCACAGGGCTGGCCGGGCCCGCCCGGGGCAGGGCACACGCTGCTCAGCTGGGCCCCGCGCCCCGCTCGGCTGATCCGAGCTGACAGCCATGTCTTCCCCGCTCCCRTTTGTTTCTATTTTCCATTTTCCGAGTTGCCGCCGGTGAATTTGAGATGCCGCTGTCTCCCTTTTTAATCGCGGGCCAGAGGACGGCAGAGGGAAGAAATGCACTTTTGGCCTGGCTGCCGTGCAGGGCTGAGAGCAGCGGGGTGGAAAGAGCGGCGCAGCGGGAGCCCGGGGCCGTGGCACCGGCCTGTCCTTGGGATCCGGGCTGGACAGACAGCACGGGAACGGGAAACTAAAAACCTCTGCCCTTCTGCAAAAGGGGGCTCAGCCCTCGAAGGCTGAATGTGGACAATCCTGAGCCCATCCCTCTCCCTTCTCCAGGGGCTGCCAGTGGGATGCACTCAGGCTCAGTGTGAAGAATGATTCTGGAGCCAGCACTCAGGGGTTCACAGAAACGCTGGTGAGAGCCCCTGCAYGCCCAGCCATCCCCCCCACCTCAAAAGGAGCTCGGGCTTGAGCCACAGGCACTTCTGGGAGGGGTTTCTGAGCATGGAGTGTCCTGTGGCATGCTCTGGGTGGGATCTCCTCACATCCATCACCAAATACAAGGGGGCTCCATAGCCTCTCCCACACCTTTCACTCACCAGAGGACTCTCACCAGGGACTGAAGGGAGCACATTTTAGGGAGATCGTTCCAGGTCCTGCTGGACCACCCGCCCCCTCCCCCCCATGCAGGAGGTCCCTGTGCTAACCAGGGCTGGGCTTTGGGAGCACCAGGTGCCATTACAGAGGTGGCATCACAAGCTAAAGAAAGAGTAATGGGATCTGATGCTCCAGGGAATAGAGCAGGAGGAGGGGGCGAGGGAGCCCCCAGCCCGATGGACAGCGCTGCACATTTGGCTGGGGGCTCTCGCTGCTGCTCCCTGCTCCCAAGCCTGTGCCAAAGGCACAACCCGGGGCTGGCTGCACCAATTAGCTCCTTCCAAACGTCAGCTCCAGACTCTGYCAGCCTGTGATGGCTGTGCTGCCACACAGGGGGACCCTTGGCTGCACYCCCCAAGGAGCCGCCGCACCGTGTCCTGTCCCTGCGGGCAGGCAGAGCCACTACTGGCACCAGGGGACACCCACAGAACCACTGCTGGCATCAGGGGACACCCACAGAGCCASTGCTGGCACCAGGGGACACCCACAGAGCCACTGCTGGCACCAGGGGACACCCACAGARCCACTGCTGGCACCAGGGGACACCCACAGAACCAGTGCTGGCACCAGGGGACACCCACAGAACCAGTGCTGGCACCAGGGGACACCCACAAAACCACTGCTGGCATTGGGGGGACACTCTCAGAGCTACTGCTGGCACCAGGGGACACCCACAGAGCCAGTGCTGCAGTGCTGCTGGGGTGTCTGGCAGCCAGGGTCGCCCTCCTGCACCCCTGGGAGCGAAGCCCACCCAGTGAGGGGAGCAGCGGGGGTCCTGCACTCTCTGRATGTCGGTGATGTTCTGAGGGTGTTTGTGTGGAGCTCAGCACCAAACTGGCCTTGCCCAGAGGTGCAGCCCCTTCCTCACCTTCTTCCTGACAGCCAGGGGCTGTTCCGTGGCCAGGATAACCAGGAGCTTCTGCAGGGCACCGCCCTCGATGGCCTCGATCTGCACTTTGGGGTTGCTGCAGAGACAAAAGCAAAAGGCAGGTCACCAGCAGAGTGGGGCATGGCAGTGTGGGAGGGAGCCTGCTCTGGCTTGTACCAGCACTGGGGTGGCACCAAGACCAGAGCACTGCCCGTCCCCTGTGCTGGCCCTGCTGAGGGATCTCGAGGGCTGTGTCCAGTCCTGGGCCCCATGGCCAGAGGGACCCTGAGGGGCTGGAGCGTGTCCATGGCAGGGAACAGAGCTGGGAAGGGTCTGGAGCCCCAGGAGCGGCTGAGGGAGCTGGGAAAGGGGCTCAGCCTGGAGCAAAGGGGGATCAGGGGGGACCTTGTGGCTCTGCACAACTCCCTGACAGGAGGGGACAGCCGGGGGGGTCGGGCTCTGCTCCAGGGAACAGGGACAGGAGGAGAGGGAACRGCCTCAGGCTGGGCTGGGGAGGGGCAGGGGGGACATCAGCAGGAATTTCCCCATGGAAAGGGTGGTCAGGCCTTGGCAGGGGCTGCCCAGGGAGGTTTGGAGTGCCAATCCCTGGAGGTGTCCAAGGAAGGGCTGGAGGTGGCACTGAGTGCTCTGGGCTGGGGACACGGTGGGCATCGGGCACAGCTTGGACTCCATGGCCCTGGAGAGCTTTTCCAACTTCAATGATTTTGTTCTATTCTACTTCCACCTCACAGTGGACATGGACAGGGTTCGATCCAGCCTGATCCCAAAACAAAATCCCCCAGCTCCCACCAGCCCTGGCTCATGATTATGGAGAAGGTACAGACCCCTGCAGCCACCCCAAACATGCCTGCAGTGAAGACAGCAGGGCTGGAAAGGGCACATTGGGTCACCTGTCCCACCCAGAGCAYCCTGTGGCTCCCTGAACCCTCTCCCCTCCCATCACATCCACTCCAGAGCACCCTTTGTATTTCAGTTCCTGCCTCCCCTCTCCGAGCCTGCTGTGAACGTGCTCATCACCCACACAACTCTCACAGCCAGAGCTCCTCTCCGAGGGCTCCAGGGGCTGAATCCATCCTGCTGCCTGCAGGGACAGGCTCAAACCTCAGGGCAGGATGTTGGCAGCTGCCCAGGGACAGACAGACAGACAGATAGACTGACCATTCCCACCATCCACGCTGACATGCTGCAAGCCCCCTTTCTAATGCACCTTGGAGGGTGGTGGAGGTATCAGATGCTCCAGGCTCCCTCCCTGGCAGTCAGGGTGCAGTGTCCCCACTGTCCACAGCCCTGATCCCACATCTCCCACCCTCCAGGATCAGCTCCAGCACCTCAGCCTTTGCTCCACGCTGAAACAGTGACTTGCACCGTGCCAGACCAAGGTCACTGACCCTGCACAGCAGCCACGGGTCTCAAAGATCCCAGAGAGCTGCTGGAGCAGCCTCTGCCAAGCCCCCACCGTGAAATGAAACAGAGCCATGCAAGGTCAGGAAGAAACAAAACCGGAGACAAATGGAGCTGGGCAGGGAGCAGCTTGGAGTTAAAGCCAGGGCAGAGGCACAGCAAAGCACCACACTCATCTGTGTCAGCCAAGGACCCTCCCTGTTCCATCCACGCTGAGCTTCTTGCACCAAAAGGAGCCATCCACAGCTCAGAAGGGGCAGATCTGGTGTGGGACTTCCCAGCTGGCATTCCCAGGSTGAACTCAGGCAAGGAAAACTGGGTTGGTTGAAAGCCACCTTTGATTTCTCTTTCCTCACCCTCTTGMTGCAGCAAACACCCAGGCAGAGCCAAGGCACAGGCACCCTGCCAAGGTGGGGCATCTGTGACCTGCCCAGACAGGGCAGGAGGGAGAAGGAACCAACCCAGGAGCTCCAGGATCCTCCTGCAGAAGGGATTTACACAGCACCATTCTCACAGCCCCATGAGCCAGCCCTGGGAGCAAACCAGCTCCTGCAGTGCCTGTGGGACCTGACCCAGCCTCCCCATGCCAGGAGGTGCAGAAARGTCTCCTGGAGAGGAGGATCTTCTCTGGTGATCTTCCATGCCAATATGCTGTGCAGTGACCCCTCCATGGCATCTCTGAATGGCCTGGGCTGGGCACTGATTTGGGGACTCAGGGGTCAGCAAACAGCACCAGCCCCAAACCTTCAGCTCTCCCCAGGCCACTCCTGGGCCCAAGGCCACTTTCCCCAGCTCACAAATGGGGCTCTCATCAACTCCAAACCTGCAGACACAGCCACAGCCATGGTCCAAAATTCTGATCAAATTTCCTATGCAAGTCCCTCTGGGCAATGTGGACCAGAGGATGTGCAGAAGCAGCTTGCAGGAAGGCACTTTGCTGAGGAGAAGTGCCCTGGAAGGACAATCCCCGGGGCTGGAGACCTCTCAGTGCCACTCAAGGGAAATGGTACAGGTGGGATATCCAAGCTCTTTTGTCACATGTCTCTAAAATAAATAATAAAAACCCTTACAGCAAGAGACACAACCAAGAAATTGGCATGCCTTTAATGCTTGGCTGGTCACCTGGAGGATTTGATCTAATTAAAATCTCTGAAGCATGGAGCATTTGCCAAGGAGCAGCTCYGGAGGTGAGGGAGCCTTCCCGGCCGGCAGGTGTGCCGCTCGCTGCTCAGCGCTCCTGTGGCTCCAGTCTCTGCTATCAATAGTCCTGGCTTCCAGCTAACAAAAAAGCTCCTTTGAAGCTTTGGAAATCTCAGCGCAGATCTGTACAAATTACACTGTCAAGCCCAGGGTAAAGCAGCCTRAACAAAATAAACACAATGAGACAGACTGTGGAGCGCCCACATGGGAAATTCACCTGTGCTAATCTGCTAATGGAGACAGGACGGTGGCACCTGCAACAGGATCCACTGAAATGGGAGTGGGAGATGTGATGTGATGGCATCCCATAAYGCTGCAGTGATGGCAGAGATTTGGGTGAGCTCAGCTGATGGGATGAGTCAGTCCCTGTCCCGGTAAGGAATGGCCACAGACCGTGCTTGGGTTCAAGCAGCTTCCAGAAAAAGCCCCGGGTTGCCCTGGGAGGATCCAGCCTGGCTGTGGATCACTGGGGTGATCCTCAATGGCCATCTGAGGTCCTTGTGCCTCCCAGCCGTGCTGCCCACATCCCTCACATCATCTTCACTCTGTGGCTGGAGAGCAGCAAACAAGGCTGGGCAGAGGGACTGGGACTGATCTGTKCAAGAAACTGCCCAGGCAGGCACTGGAGCAGGCTGGGTTATGGGGCCCACGCTGTGTCCAGGCTGCCCAAGGCGTGGGGCAGGGGTGAAGAGCCTGGGAAGATTCCCTGCTGCCCACAAGTGCCCTCCCCAGTGTCCCTGAGCAGCTCCTGAGGATCCCCTGACAGATGGGGTCTGTCCCACCTGACCTTCCTGAGCCAYTGCCACCCGTGCCAGCCTGGGAGAGCTCCTCTGAGCAGCTGCAGGCACAGCCACCAGCCCCTCTCAGGATGGGTTCTGGGGATGGAGAGCCCCTGTCCCTGGCTCCTGGGGCTGGGACTTTGCAGGCACTAATTTACTGCGCCCTTCCATCATTCCCTGGTGGCTGGGCAGGGTGAGCTTTGCTGGAGAGGGGAAAACATGAAAGCAGGGGAGAGAAAGCCATGAGCAAAGCTCCTCCTGAGCCTGCCTGTGCCCAGGGGCTGGGGGGACCTTTGTGTGCCCCTTCCCAWCTCCCTGTGCTGGGATCACCACCTCCCACGAGGGCTGGACATCGTTAGAGCCAGGACTGCTTTGCCATAGCAGCGTGAGCTTCAGCAGCTCAGGGAGAGGGGAGCAGAGGAAATCAAACTGTGATCAGCTTTTGGAGTGAATCCAAAACCAAGCTGATACAGAGCCCAGGCAGCAGCAGCTCCTGCCTTGGGCAGGGGCTGAAGGCAAAGATGGGACCCAGCACCCTCCCCAAGCTGCCAAGTCAGGGTGTTTGTGCCTTTTTTCCCTTGTTTTTTCCTTCCATCAAAGCTCTTTGTGGAAGCAGCAAGGCCTCAGGATGTGGCTGAGCAGCCAGAGAAACCCCCAGCACAATGAAGGTGTCCCAGAGGAGAGGTCGGCTCACAAAGTGGGCTCAGAGCCCTCCAAGCAGCCTCTGCGTGCCCCACACTGCCCCAGCACCTGGCTGGGTGGGACTGCTCAGGGGGTGGCTGCCCCTTATCCCTGGATGTTGGTTTGGGAATGCTGAAAATCCAGCATGGGCTTCTCTGCCACTTTCACTGGCAAACTGGCATGGTAGCAGCTCCCACTATGCAGACAAAGGGATTTTTTCAGAGTCCTCTCTGCTGAGAGATACCCTTATTGCACTCCTCCTGGGACGATCCCAAGTACACAAATTTAGGAGAGACTTTTCAAAGTTTCTGCAAGCTGCACATGAGATGGGTGTGGGAAGACTGAAAAGCAGCAACACAGCCCTGAGGCGACAGCAGCTCTGGAGTTAGGTGGGAACTTACAATAAGGCAGCAAAATTAGATTTAAATTAAAAAAAAAAAAAA